CTGGCAGAGGCGGTGGCACGCGATTGGGTCGCAGAGCTGGCGGTGAATCCGCTTTTCGCAGAGAATTAGATCGCGTGACCAGAGCTCGACTCATGGGCTGACTGGTGGTCACCACAGAGTTTCCCCTTACGATTGTGTGGCTCTTGATGTCCATAATCTCTGTGTGAGTGATGTTTGAGGGGTCGACGATAGGTCGCGGGCGCAGGGAATTGGTGTTCCCCTGAATCAGAGACAGCCATTGCGGGGGAAGGCCTACGAACTTGCCTGCAATCACACACAATGTCTAAGTTATCACGAAAACACATTCCTCGACAGACATACCTTCCCGGCGATCAAAGCCTGTGTGCACTCTGTGCTCAAAATTGGTCGGCGAAGAGATGGTCGGCTTCTTCTTCTTCTTCCCAAACATTTCAATTCAATCGCTTCTGAAATTCAAATCACTTTTAATTAAGTTATAAATTGTTTGCAAAACTTTTTTCAACACTTGTTGGTGTCATTTGTTGAATGCTTTCATTCAATGTATTGAGTAATGAAATGCAATCAAAGCATACAATCGTTTGATTGACACAACAATTCACTTATAAATGCCAATCAAATCAAAACAATGAGTAAAATCTAAACACAATTATAATTTTGAATCACTTTTTCTTACCTTAATTTCAATTATAATTTTGTTGTCACTTTTGGCTGAGTATTGAATGCAACAAAGTTTGTAATATAATATATATTTGTGTATAATATATAAAAATATTGATTACAAATAGTTAACAAATTAGTTGTAATAATTGTAATAATAGTAATAATAGTAATAATAGTAATAATTAATTAAAAACTCATGAAACAAGTGTTGCGTTTGTGTGGAAAGGCGTGTCATTAGTGAACACAACAATCATAACTCGATTAGTGTATCGATCGCTGCATTCACGACACTCTCTGTCTGTCACTCATGAACGCCATTATTAGTGAACCCTAATATTGTGCTCACATATACCGTTACTAAACCACATATTTCGCACCCCATATGTAGTCAATGTATTTGGTTGCAAATATTTCCCTCTCTTTTATGTACAGTATTTGTGTTGATATGCAAATCGGTATCCCCTGAACCGGATGGAGAGTGGGCTCGACTGCAGTGCTCTTATTATATGTTTACAAACAAGTGATTGAAATCGTTGTGAATTTACTGATTATAAAGTATTTTATGATAAATGAGTGCTTTATTAGCACTTCACTCAAGTGGTCATACGTTGAGAAAGTCTTTTATCTGATTGTTAATAGTTTTGAAGTTTGCGACAGTTTTTCAGATGAAATAACCGACACTTTCGCTGAAATAAAGTTTCAAATTCTCATGAATTGGTGAATGAGTTGTCGATTGCAGTGAATATGAGTTCACGGCTTATATGCCAACAGAATATGGGTTTAGAGATCATTATTAGTGATGAATATTCTGCACATTATATCCAACAAAGTATTACTCCTTTTATGTATACTTTCTATTCATTTATTCTCTAATTAAGACTTACTTTTCTAAATACAAAAGTTTTGGCACAATATTCATGAATATTCGCAAGAATATTCTGTACAATTGTGTACAATAAGCCGGGTCGTTAGCTTATAGCATATGAATATTAA